TGCAGCGAGGTACTGCTGCACGTGCCGGTCAAAGGCAGCAAGCTGCTGCACAGCAGCAGCAGCAGCAGCAGCAGCACCAGCAGCAGCAGGAGCAGCAGCAGCAGCAGCAGGTTCAGCAGCAGCAACCGCAGCTTTTGCTGCTTCTGCTGCAGTAGGTTCGTCTGTCTTGACCCGTTTGGTTGGGGGGGCCCCACCTTGCTGCTGCTGCTGCTGCTGCTGCTGCTGCTGCTGCTGCTGCTGCTGCTGCTGCTGCGCCCAGCATCCTGCTGCGAACGGGAGCTCGAAGGCAATAGCAGCAGCAACAGCAGCAGCAGCAGCAACAACAGGGGCCCCAAGCTCAAGAGCTAGGGGTGTTGCATGCAGCAGCAGCAGCTCCTCTCTGCTGCGGCGCTCCAGCCCGTGCAGCAGCGCAGCAAAAGCTTTTCCCCTTCTAGGCCAGTAGCTGCAGCAGCAGCAACTGCTGCTGCTGCTGCTGCTGCTGCTGCTGCTGCTGCTGCTGCTGCTGCTGCAGGGCTGCAGCAGCAGCTTGATGTGTCTGCTGAGAGCAGCAGCAGAACTCCTGGGGGCCCCCAAATTAAACTCTATCGCCTGCAGCAGCAGCAGCTCCTTCTGTCGTATTAGGCTGCACAGGTTGCGGCAGCAGAGGCCCCCATCCCGCAGCAACCAAGAAGAAGAAGAGCATAACAGCTGCTGCAGCTGCTGCAGCTGCTGCTCCTGCTGCTCCTGCTGCTGCTGCTGCTGTTGCTGCTGCTCTTGATCATTATTATCTGGGTGGTTAAATGCAGAGACAGAATCGCAACCGTTCGCTTGCTGCTGCTGCTGCTGCTGCTGCTGCTGCTGCTGCTGTTGCTGCTGTTGCTGCTGCATGGGAGTACTGGGGCGGTCAGTTTGCTGCTGCACCTGCTGCTGCTGCTGCTGCTGCTGCTGCTGCTGCTGGTGGTTGTCTTGCTGCTGCAGCAGATGATAAACAGCAGCAAGCTGCAGCAGCTTCTTTCGCTGGGAGACACGGTAAAAGGCCCTAGACAAACACTGCACCCGTCGCTGGCTCCTGTACATACACCCCAGCAGCAGCAGCAGCAGCAGCAGCATAAATTCATGCAGCAGCAGCAGCAACAGCAGCAGGAATAACAGCAGCAGCACCACCACCAACAGCAGCAGGAACACAAATCCATGCAGCAGCAACAACACCAGCAGCAGCAATAGCAGCAATGCAGCAGCAGCATCAGCACCACAGCAGCAGCAGCAGCACTGCAGCAGCAGCACTGCAGCAGCAGCAGCAGCACTGCAGCAGCAGCAGCAGCAGCAGCAGCAGGTCTGACTTGATGGGGTCGCTGTCATCCAAGAGCTTCCAGGCCAGCAGCAGCGCAGCAGCAGCAGCAGCCTTTCTGTTCGTCAGTCGCAGCGGTTGCTGCTGCTGCTGCTGCTGCTGCTGCTGCTTATGCTGCTTGTGCTGCTTCTGCTGCTGCTGCTGCTGCTGCTCTGCCCCCAAGTAAAAGAAGCCGAGAGCAGCGCAAATGCATTCCGTAGAAAGCCCCAAATTCCTGCACCGCAAAACCCTAAACCCTAAACCCTAAACCCTAAACCCTAATTCCTAAACCCTAAACCCTAAACCCTCAGTTATATTCACTTTCTCTTTCCCCTATCTAGCCCCCAATAGAACAGCAACATAACACACGAACTGTGTTTCTATCCGGCCACTGTAATCAGGGTTTAGGGTTTTAGGGTTTAGGGTTTAGGGTTTAGGGTTTAGGGTTTACCTGCCGAGAGCCATAAGGAAATTAGCGGTCCTATCCGGCCACTGTAATCAGGGTTTAGGGTTTTAGGGTTTAGGGTTTAGGGTTTAGGGTTTAGGGTTTAGGGTTTACCTGCCGAGAGCCATAAGGAAATTGGCGGTCCCCAGGAGAAGCATGCGGTCTTCCCTTTTATCTAAGAAGCGCCGAGACAAACAAAACTGAAACACTCCTGCTGCTGCTGCTGCTGCTGCTGCTGCTGCTGCTGTTGCTGCTGCTGCTGCTGCTGCACCTGCTCCTGCTGTTGCTGCTGCTGCAGGGAACGTATCACTGCCGCCACCGCTGCTGCTGCTGCTGCTGCTGCTGCTGCTGCTGCTGCTGCTGATGCTGAGGCCCAGAGCAGCATCCATATCTCTCTTGAGAAAGGATAAAGCAGCAGCCTCTTCTGCTGTTGCTTTCTCTTCTTTTTTTGCTGCAGTATGTTTTCCATCTGCAGCAGCAGAAGCAGCAGCAGCAGTTGCTGTTGCTGCTGCTGCTGCTGCTGCAGCAGCAGCAGCAGCAGGAGTCAGCATCGCGCTGCTTCTTGATACAAATATCTCCTCAGCAGCATCAGCAGCACTTAATAACAAATAAAATAATAATAAATATACAAACAAAAACAAAAAAATAAACATAAGCTGCTGTAGTAGGGGGGCCCCTGCAGCCACCTGCGGGGGGCCCCCTCAGGGGGGCCCCCCCCCGGGGGGCCCCCTAAACAATGTATCGAGTGCAGCAACAGCATAAATAAATAAATAAATAAATAAATAAATAAATAAATAGAGGGGTATTTAAACCCTTTTGTTGCTGCATAACAAGAGTAATCGCCAGGCAATATGCGGGTTTAGGGTTTAGGGTTTAGGGTTTAGGGTTTGAGTTCGCCTATAGAGGGGCGCCCAAGGGCCTCTACACCTCCTCAGGTTATTTTAGGGTTTAGGGTTTAGGGTTTATGGTTTAGGGTTTAGAGCCTAGGGTTTAGAGTTTAGGGTTTAGGGTTTAGGGTTTAGTGTTTAAGAACCTTGAGGCCCCCTAAGGAGGGCGTTGGTGACCCCTTAGGGTTTAGGGTTTATGGTTTAGGGTTTAGGG